ATCTAGCTTCTCTGATTACTGCTCAGTTTATAAGGCCATCCATAGTTTGCTATGATCCACACACAGTTGTATGAACGTCTTTGATTAGTCATGAAACACACGTCGACATCAATCTGGGAGGCTCAGCTTTCAGTCAAGATCAGTCTAACGTCAGCAATGACATCGCCTGTTCCATGGCTTCTTCTGTATCCGGCCTGCACCTCTGGCAGCTCCCTGTTGATGCGCTGCTGCAACCATTGTTGGATGATCTTCAGCAAAATTTTACCTACGTGTGATATTCACGATCTTGTTCTATACATTGCACACTCTGTCGGGTCCCTTTTCTTTAGAATGGGTACAAATATGGATCTCTTCTAGTCAGTTGGCCAAGTAGCTGTCTTCCAAATTTCTTGGCATAGGCGAGTGAGCGCTTTCCATGCTCCATCAACTTGTTGAAACATTTCAGTTGGTGTTCATCAATTCCTGAACCCTTGTGTTTGGCTAATCTCTTAATGTGGCTCAGACTTCTTCCTTCAGCACCATTATTTCTTGCCGATATAGGAGATACATCTTGCTGACATCCTGACACTGTGGATGTCAACTAGTATTTTGGTATAGCGAATATGTGTCTTCCTTCCATCTTCTTTTGATGTTTCCTTTACTGTTCAATATGTTACCCATAGAATCTTGCGATATTGCAACTCAAGGCCTGGGTGTTTTCTTCATTTCTTTAGTTGAAGATGTGCTGAGTGTGTCCTTCCTTTTTTGGTTTTCTACCTCTAGATCTTTGCACTTTTCATTAAAATATGTTACTTTGTCTATTCGAACTGCCCTTTGAAATTTCTGTTCGGTTCTTCCATTTGCCTTCACGATTCTACCATTAAGTTCAAGTTTCAGAGCCTCTTCTGACACATACTTTGCTCTTTTCTTTCCTGATATTTCAATGACCTTTTGTTTCTCTGCGTATGGCGTTTCTGATGTCATTCCACTGCCCAGCAGGTCTTTTCTCATTAGTGTCCAATATGTTCTTGAGATGTTCTCAAAATTTAGGTGGGATGACTCCAGGTCATATTTTGGCTCTGTGGACTTGTTTTAATTTCCTTCTGCTTCAACCTGAGTAATTAACAGTCTGTTCTGCACGGTCTGCCTCTGGCTTTATGTCAGCTGCTGACACTGAGCTTCTCCATTGTCTTCCAACAGTTATAGTCAAGTTGACTTCTGTGAATTCCATCTGCAAAAGTCTGCATGTTGGGTTGCCATTTGTGTTGTTAAAAAAATTATTTGTAAAAAAAAAAATTTGTCATGAAGAAGTCATTGGTCTTGCG